GAAGACACAGACTCTGAAACAGGCTCCAGGCTCTGAGCTGGCAGTCAGCACAGAGCCCGACGCGGGGCTCGAACCCACGAACCGCGAGATCATGACCTAAGCGAAAGTCGGACGCTTAACCGACTAAGCCACCCAGGCGCCCCACTAAACATTTTTTAAAAAGAAACAAAATTAGAGGGGCGCCTGGGTGGCTCAGTTGGTTGAGCATCTGACTCTTGGTTTCAGCTTAGGTCATGATCGCAGGGTCTTGGGACAGAGCCCTGCATCTGGCTCTGCACTTAGTGGGGAGCCTGCTTAACACTCTGTCTCTCTCTCTCCGCCCCCCCACCCCTCTTCCCTGCTGACACACACACTCTCTCTTTCAAATAAAATGTATATATATATATATATAATTAAAGATGAAACAAGTATTTCTTTCCCTTCCCAAATGCAACAGTTTCTTATATAAGAACTGTTCTTACATACCTATATGTGTGCACACACACACACATGCACACACGCACACACACATACACACACCAGTTTTGGATAAGATCATATGAATTTGCACATGCTTTTTTCATTTGACAATATTATGTAGACATCTCTCTGTGTCGACAGTTGAACGTAGGTCATTGTAAGTACTGCCTGTAGCCAGAGCCCGAGTGTGTCCTAGGGTAAGACTGCAGACTGAACTCAGTGAGTATCCTGGACCCGGTTTTCTTGGATGTGTGTGTTCCTCCAGGAGCTTCAATCCTATTAGCAAAGAAACCCATTTGAACACTGCTGTAATTATTCAGAGCAGACATAACAAGAGCCTGAGCTAGGCAGGGGAAGGAGAAGAGAGACAAATTTCCTTTTCTAAAATAACATGTGCTTCCTCTTGAGAGTCTGCCGGGCCTCCCATACCCCTATCAGTCACGGGTCAGCCATAAATGGGAGATGTAGGGCACAGCAGAGGGGCGGGCAAGGGAGCCCAGGGTGAGGGCCGCAAAGAGGAAGGGGAAGGGGTCTGAGCTATTAATTAAAGCTGCCAATGAACAGAAATGGGGTGGGAGGAGAATGCTGCCTGCAAGTCACACCTGTCCTGGGCAGGGCCATGTGCTACCTGCTGCCCACGCTGCTCTGAGCTTCGCAGCAACCCTGTGCTTAGACTGTGTGAGGAATCTGAGGCTCAGGAAGGGGAAGGGGTCTGTCGGGTCTCACTTAGCAAGTCAGTGACCATGCTGGGCTTCTGACCGAGGCCTGACCGCAAAGCCCTGTGTGTGTGCAGCCTCCAGGCTGTCTCTTAGTTAATGACGCTGCCCAAGGACACCAGATGGGCAGGTCTAGAAGAGCCAAGGCCTGGAACTCAACTGGGGCGGATGCTGGGGAGACGGACCCAGTGCTGGCACCAGGCAGAGGGAGTCCGGCCAGAAGGCTGGACAGTGGCAGGTGACAAGTGGTGTCTGGTGACTCCCCGCTGTCTGGGAGCCCTTCCCCAAGGAGCTAGTGGCCCACACACAACAGGTTGGAGGCAGTGGCTTGGAGCCAGGCCACATCCCCAGGCAGCATGGGGCCCAGGTGGGAGTTCGGGGCGGAGCTCTGCTTCCTGGAAACTTGGAACCTGGCTGGGCCTAGGAGCCCCGACTCTCCACAGCCTCAGGAGTGCCACATGCCATCAGGGCTTACACAACTCCCCTGGCCTCCCTGCCCTCCTCCTACCTCCTCCCCCTCAATGGACTTTTCTGACCTCACATTTCGGGTCCTTCTTTTATATTTATATTTAAGAAATGCCCTTTTAAAAGCTTTTTATAAATAACGAGGGAACTTTTTAGTATAAGACGAATGCCATTAATATAGCCCATGAATCGCCTATGCATGGATAAGGGCAGACATTAAATCTTTTCCCCAATTGAGATTATACTCATCATCCTTTTGAAGAAGATGCCTTTATCGGTTCCCAATATCCTGTGCAGTTTCCATGCACGGGGCATCTGCGCTTGGGAACACGGACTCAAGCGCCAGCTGGCCTGGGGTTCAGAGCCTTTCTCTGCCACTCATTACTTTTGTGACACAGTGACATTGGTACCTCTCTCGGCCTTGGTCTCCTCATCAGTAAAATGCAGATGCTAACAGGCTTAATGGGAGGCTCCGTGTGAGAACTAAATAAAGGAGGTGGGGCTAACCTGCAACACCTTCGATGCTCTGTAAGCACCCAATATTAGTATCATCGTTACTCCTCACCTAACAAGAGAGCCCAGCATCCTGGCTCCACCTCATCACCTAGATTTTGTAGCTGGATCCCAGCCCAGACCCAAGTCTTTATCCGGGTCTCTTGGGCCTACCCCAGGTCTCTTCCCCCCTGGAATGGTGGGGGTGCTTGGGCCTGGGCTCTGCTTCTTTTTTTTTTCTTTTTAATGTTTTTATTTATTTTTGAGAGAGTGAGAGACAGCATGAGTGGGGGAGGGTCAGAGAGAGAGGGAGACACAGAATCCAAAGACTAGCTGTCAGCACAGAGCCCGACACGGGGCTTGAACCCACAAACCGTAAGATCATGACCTGAGTCGAAGCTGGACGCTCAATCAACCAAGCCACCCAGGCACCCCTGGGCTCCGCTTCCAGGTAGCATTCAGTGGGATTTCTGAAGTCTTCCTGGGCGACATGAGTAAGGACAGCAGTCAAAAAAAGGGAGAAAGGGGAAGGGAGAAGACAGGAAAGTGGCCCGGCTCTAGCCAGGCCCTGGAAACCCGGCCCCCCCAGGTGCTCTAGAGTCCCTGCCACACTGGGCTCCCTCAGCTGGCGTGCCAGCCCCGGGTCCCTGCCCGGTGACATCACGGGGAGGAGACACGGCCCCTGGGAGAGACCACTGGCGTGCCTGCTCTCCCATGGCCAGGAAGGGTGGAGACCAGATCATAACCACCCCTAGAAGGAGTTGCTCAGACTCAAGGGCACAACTTGGGTTTCACTCTGTTCGTTGGCCTTGGGAGTGACTTCCCCACTGACTTCTAAGTGTGGGTGCACGCGCGATCTGGGACCCGGCTCTGAGCTCTGGAATCCACAGGAGATGAACTACCAGCGGGCCATGCAGAAGATGGCAGAGGACATCTTATCGCTGCGGAAACAGATCAGCGTCCTGGAGGCAGAGAACCACATTCTGAGGAGCCAGCTAGCCCAGGGAGAGGTGGAAGAGGAGCAGGACGACGCCAGCAAGGGCCAGAATCTGGGTGAGGGGGTACAGGTCACCGAGAGCCTCTGGGTGCCCGTCTGAGCCCAGGCTCTGAACTGTGGGTCAGGGTGGCCAAGAGCCTTTCCCAGGTGTGCCCGCTCCTGGACACCAGCAGGGTCCTCCCCTCGATGGGAGACTCCAGCCCTGTCTCAAGCCCCTGCCTCTGTCCCCAACTGTGCTGAGCTAGGAGATGCCCCCTCCCTGAGCCTGCTTCCTCCCCTCCCCCGCCCCCCCCCTCAGTGTCCATGAAGCAGAAACTGCTGCTGAGTGAGCTGGACATGAAGAAGCTGCGGGACAAAGTGCAGCATTTGCAGAATGAGCTGATTCGAGTGAGCTGGGGCTGGGGGACAGAGGGGAAGGGAGCCGGGGGGCTGTCCGGAGAGGTGCCTGCAAGCAGAAGGGAGAGAGGCGTAGAGGGAAGGGGACACTGCAGTTGGAGAGTTGGCAGAGGGGACAACAGTAACCCCAGGCACCCCTTCTTTCCACACTCCCTTCCCTCCCCCACCGCTATCAGAAGAATGATCGTGAGAAGGAGCTGCTCCTCTTGCACCAGGCTCAGCGGCCACAGGCTGCGCTGCTGAAGCGGTACCAGGACAAGCTGCAGAAGATGAAGTTGCTGGAGGAGACCGTGCGGCACCAGGAGAAGGCAGGTGCCAGAGGGGCGGGCCCCCCAGGCGCCAGCCCCTGATGGGAAGGTACAGAGCCCCCAGGCCAGCCCCGCCTTTGTGCCCTGCCCTCCAGGTGATTGAGAAGATGGAGCGGGTGCTAGAGGACAAGCTGTGGGATAGGAAGGAGCCCCTGCTCACCAGGCAGCAGGGAAAGCCCAACGTGGGTGAGTCTGCTCCCCAGCTTTTGTCCCATCCCCGGGGGGGCCATCCTTCCTGGAGCATCTGCTTCCAGAGCAGAACTGGGGCAAAGGCAGTGAGGGCCGGGCTCCCAAAGGTCCACTGGGCTCCCTTCTCCTGCCAGGGAGCCCCTCAGGACAGATCGGGACAGTGTGTGAGCCAGGCTAGAGCCCAGGGCATGCTCAGACCCCCACAGGAGAGGCCGTGCAGACTGGGGTGATCAGACAGGGGTTGCCCTGAGAAGAGGGGCTGCCAGAATCCTCCACATTATTTCCTCATCTCCCCACGTCTTCAACGGGTCTGCTTCTACAAAACAAACAATACCTGTGTGTTCTCTCCATTCATGTTAACCGAAGCCCCTTAAGACTGCCAATCTGACATGGCTCTGACCGGCAGGGGACAACCAGCTCACCCCACATCAGCCAGCCCAGGCAGACAAGTACCCTTAGCCATCTGCACAACTTCACTCCTTCATGCCCAGCCCTGTACTCAGCCTTCTCCGCATGGGGGTGTGCTGGGGGGCTGCATTTCAGAAGGCCTTTGAAAAAGAATGCGAGAGGAGGGGCTGCCTTTCAGGAGCCCTGAGGTCATCCAGGAGTGGGAGGAGAGAGAAGGTAACCTAGGGAGAGCAAAGGGCCAGGGAGCAACAAGCCCAGCAGAGAAGGGGGAAAAGAGAGAGGTGAAGAGCTAAAATAGACCCAGGGCAAATGGCGGGCATGCTCATGGAGAACACTGCCATCAGATTATAAAGATCTGATCCTAAGACGGCGGCGGCAGGGAGCCATTGAGGGCTTGGGAACAGAGGAAGGGCAGAACGGAGCAAAATGCTGGGGCGGATGAGGCAGGGGACATGCGGGCAGGAAAGCCCAGCTCTCAAGCACCTGTGGCCATGCCTGCAGCCTTCCCTGCGCTCTCCACCTCCGGCCTTCCCCCGGGGCCTGCAAGAGAGAACCTGCCCTTGGACCTGTACTCCGTGCTGCTGGCAGAAAACTCCAGGCTGCGGGCAGAGCTGGATAAGAACCGCCACCAGTCGACCCCCATCATTCTGCAGCAGCAGGCCCTGCCGGTAAGAGCGACCAGCACAGGCTTGGCCCGGTACTCGGCAGTCACTCAGCACGATCCAAGTTGAAGACCAAGGCCAGGGGCTGGGCTTCCCAGGGCCTCTTGGAGGGCCAGCTCTCAGGCCTGCCTCTTTTCTTCCGGGGAACACATACGGGTGTCAAAGCGCCACTTTTGCCTTCATCTTAGCAGCCTGGGAGAAAGCAAGCCCCCAAGTGGCCCTTGACCCTTGACCCTTGACCCCTGACCCCTTTTGCTGGCCCACACTCGGACTCCCCACAAGCCTCCTGGAGCATTTCCCAGGATTGGCTGGTGCAGCCGTGGAGAGCCCTTTTCCCCCCATCCCAGGTGGACCCCAGGGAGTTGGGTGCAGGAGGAGACCTGGCAGAGAGACTGCAGGAGACAGATGGCTCAGGCCACTCCAAGGGCGCAGAGACCCTGCCGGTACAGGTGGGTGCCCCTGGCCCCGGAAACGCCCCGGCCCCACTCCGTCTCCAAGGCTGCCGCAGGTGCCCCTTCCTGACGCAAACTGAAAGACAACGCATCTGGAACTCCAGCAAGGGGTGGGCAGGGGGCACGGGAGAGGTTTCTTCACCCCAGGACTTGCGGGAGGTGAGTTCTGTTTGAAAGCGCACCCAGTGCATGGACATCTAGGTGAAGTGCGGGGGCACAAGGATTCTTCACTTTACAAAAAGATTCCCCGTTCAGGATTCCCTTCTGTGCACTGACAGGTGCCGCCTAGTGCATTTTACACTTAGAGATTGATGTGCAGAAACGCCATAGAACCGAACTCCGTGGGGGAGAACAGCTGCGGAAAAAAAGCACACGCTGCATCAGGTCAACTTTGAGATGAGGGTTTGGCCCTGGGTCTAAGGCTCTGAATCAGGGAGCCGAGTTTGGAACTCAGACCTGGCTGGTTTCTCCCTCAGTATCTCAAGGCCTCCTGAGCCCACGCGTGGGGGTTTCTGCTTTGCCCACAGGATCTCCTTGGCAATACTTCAGACAAGTTCAACCTTCTGGCCAAGCTGGAACGAGCTCAGAGCCGGATCCTATCCCTGGAAAGCCAGGTAGGTGAGGTGCCAGCGTCAGTGAGACTGGGCAGGTTCACCTCTCAGCCTTGGACCAGGGTCAGGCTCGAAGCGTGACCAAGGTTGTGGCTCAGTCTATGACCAGAGTCCTGGATCAGTGTGGACGGAGGGTCAGGGCTCAAGTATGTTGTTGGAACTCAGAGAAGGTCCATCTGTGTCTTAGACAGTGACTTGGCCTCTGCCCACCCACCCCTGCCATGCCTTTCTCCAGAAGGTAGAAAGCCCGCATGGCCCAGGGTTTTGCCCACTGACCAGAGAGGAGGCTCAGGTTCTGGTTGTCCTGGATCTCAGGTCCTGCTGCCCCACAGTGCCCCATCTGTCCCTCTCTGTGTCCACAGTTAGAGGACTCGGCCCGACGCTGGGGACGAGAGAAGCAGGACTTAGCCACTCGGCTGCAGGAGCAAGAGTATGGCTTGGGGCAACCCTCAAACTCCATCACCACCAACCTGCCTGTGAGTGATCCCTCAGGACAAGCTCCTTGGGGGTCAGGCAGTGGGGCTGGCGGCCACTCCCGCCCCAGTCCCGAGTCGCCTGGCCTTGAGGAGAACTATGCGGGGGACCAGCTACCCACTGGGAGTCCCAGTTTCTGCTCTGTTACCACCAGAAGCCCTCGCCTGGTCTCCATGTCCCACCTGCTTAAGGCATCGTTGAGATGCCCCACGGGTGGTGGTGGGGATCAAGGGGGGATGGCCGTGGGTGGGGGTTGTCCAGGCATTTCTGGAACGCTCTGGCACTGGCTGTCCATTAGCATGGGCCGAGTAGCTGTGGCCCCCACACAGCTCCTTAGCACCTGGGGGGGAGGGTTTCTCCCATGAGCTCACCTTCTTGGGCAACTGCAGGGCTGCACCCCTGCCAGAAAGAGGAGCGTGTAGCCAGAGAGGAACGCTGCTGCCAGCTTCCTAAGCACCGATAGGCCTGTTCGCAGCTCCCCTCAAGCTCAGCTCCAGGCTCCCAGGTCCCCCAGAGCAGCCCCCACCACCCCCATGGTTCCTGCCCTTGAGCCATCAGTGTTCTGCTCATCTCCAGGCTCCTGGAAAGGCCGGAATAGGATGGGATGCGGGGAGGGGAGGGACACTGACAGAGAATACTGGGCTACCTTTGCAAAGTCACCTGCTAAGATGTGGGGGCTCTTGGAGACATCGGGCATGCCCTTGCCGTGGCTAACCGGGTTCGGAAACCTTTGTGAAGTCACAGCCCACTGTGTTTTGGATCCTCTGCGGCATGACTGGGCAAGAAGCACTTTAATGGGTCGCCCCGCGCCCCCAGAGGCAGGGGCATACCTGCCTCACTTTGCTCTGCATACCACAGAACTACTTGGCCCTCTCCAAGGACAACAGGCGCCCCTCGAAGCTGGACCCCTTGATGCCCAGCGTAGAGACTAAGCTCAACAAGCCCTCAAACTCCCAGAAGACCTGAGTCTTTGCAGACCTGAGTGCTGGAGCAGGCCTCCTTCTCTGCGTGCAGGGGGGATTCTCATTCCACCCTCCCAAGACTTCATTAAACGCTGTAAGTCAGAGAGCACTCGCCTCTTTCCTAGAGTGGGGCAACCTAGGGGGCCCAGCTTCCTCCTTCCAGACCCCACTCTGGGCCTGGGCCCTCTGCTGCAGGCTTATAGCCTCCTGCCTGTCCCAGAAGCTACCATTTTGGGGGAGCTGAAGGCTACAGTGGACCCAGGAGGGTGGGGGAGAAGAGCCCTTCCAAAGCAGAAGCCAGGGAGATGAGCTCCTTCAAGACCGTCAGATGAAATGAGACCACCTGAGGCTAGCTCTGTTGGGAGATGTAAGGGAGGCTGGGACTTTCCACTTGCCTCCAGACAGCTCATATCTGAAATCCCTTCTTTCAAGTTTGATTTATCTGTTTCTCAAGAAGGGAAAGACTTAAAGCCTGCCTGTGGCAATCAGTTACATGTTAGTATGAAGTAGCCCGTTAACCAGGGCTAAGCTGAACTGGCAATGTTGTGTCCATATATAGCCAGGGACAGAAAAGCAGATGGGGGCCAGGGGAAGGAGCCCTCTGCTGAGAGTGGGAAGGCCTGGAATCTAGTTATAAACATGCTGTGTGACCTTAAGTGACCCAAGCAACCTCTCTGGGTTTCCATTTCCCCATCTATCCCATGCAGAGCTTGACTTCTTTGATGGTAGTGCCCTTTCCAGCTCTAACATTTCTGAGTCAAAGACAACTGGGACCCAGAGAAGTAAAAGGAAGCAAGAAAGAGAGAGAAGGCCAACAAGAAGGATGATTGTATGGTGGGAAAAGTAGAAAGTTTCCAAGAGTGGACTCAGAATGTGCAGATGGTGGTAGGAGAGACCAAGGCAGCAGGGCCACTGTCCTGAGTGGGACTAGCTCCTGTGTCTGCCCGCAGGACTTAGACTTGGTGAGCAGAGAGAGCAGGGAGGGACCAGGCACCTGGTCAGGAGTTATAGAACTCAGAGGGGGTCAGGGGGCCAAAACTGGGACCAGTGTCAGGCGGTCCAAATGACGCACCAAAGGTCAGCCCCGGCCTCCCTCCTACTGCCCAGAGCCTGGACAAGTGGGCACATCATCTCCCTAGAGCAGGAAGTCGAGGCCTGGGGAAGCCCAGAGAACGATCAGGTGGGGTAAAGCAAGTATACTGACCTCTTAGTCTCTAGATCAGCCACCTCACACCAGACCCTCACTCACAGGCTTCAGCCCTGGACATGCCCTCAAGCTGTAGCTGGACCTTGGCAGGAAGTCCTCATGGCCCCACAGGGAACTCCCACCCCGAGTTCAGCCCGTCAGAGTCCTGCAGGAGCCTCATTCCAGACAGGTGGGCCTGCCCAGAAGGTGGACCCACACCTCTCAGACCACCCTGTTCCCTCAACAGAAGGCAGGTCCCTTGTCCCTCTGCCCGCTGCCCCAGTAGCTCTTTGCCCAGTAGCAATAGCCCACCACCTGCTTTACCTTGCCCCAGCCCCAGGCAGCAAGGAGGTTAATCCTACTGGCTCTTGATCCCACTGGGAATTGGCTTCAAGTTCAGCTGCCCTGGGTCTCCCATTCATGCTCAGATCCCATTGTTGACCAGGTCAGAGAACATCTATCCCCACAGGACCCTTGGGGGGTCAGACAGAAATGAGGACAGTTCACACAGTTCAGCTGTTTATTGCCTTCATGGGGCAGGAGGAGAAGGGGAAGAGGTGGCGTGAAAGAGGGGTGCCCTGGCCAACTTTCTCTTCTCAGAGCTGGTCCCAAAGGAGCAGGGAAGGGGGACAGAGGACTGAAGAGCAGACACGACCATGGGCTCCACCCTGACCTTCCTCCAGCACCCCTGCTGGCCTGAGAGGTGGGAGAGGCAGCGTCCACCCTCTCTGATCACACCTGGGGTGGGTCCTGGGTGTAGGGCCTGAAGGTGAAGAAGATGGGCTTGTCAGGCATCAGGATGAGGTTGAATGTTGTGCCCACATCGTTGAGATGTTGAATTTCAACTCTGAAGTTCTCCAGAATCTGAAAAAGAGGGGTGGTGGGCTTAGGGGAGGGGGGAGGGGCTGTCCCCCCGGGGCTAGGCTCATTCACCTGTATGTGTCACCTGTCATGAGCGACTGGAGGAGCTCCAAGGGGCCACCAGCTCCTAGTTACCCTGCACAGTGCCTGCAAATGCACCACTGGGGCCTCTGTCCCCTTGGTTAGCCTTAGCTTCTGCAAAACCTTGTCCCACCCCATTCCCATCCCATCGCCGCTTTGTGGGAACAGATGACCAGTGGGCACCGATGGGCAATAAGTAGATTAGCTCAAAACTGTCAGGGAGGAGGAGGGCAGGTAATGGGAGACAGATGTCCCCAGCCCTGTACTCCCTGGGTTCCGGACACAGATGAGAGTAGGAGGGTCAGTGCCTTCATTAGGGCCATGGCCAGCCCAGGGTGGCCAGATGTCCCCAGCTGGACTCACGTGGATGAGGAAGAGGGTCATCTCGAGCTCAGCAATCCGCCGGCCCACACACTGCCGCACACCCCAGCCAAAGCCCAGGTTCCGGAAGTGGATGAGTTCCTTGTCTTTATTCAGCCATCGGGTTGGGTCGAACTTGCCCGGATTGAGGAAGAAGGTGGGGTCTTGGCCCAAGGCATAGGTGGACACCTGCACCAATGTCTGGGGACAAGGCGGGCAGAGAGCTGAGAGAGGCTTCATCTACTCACAGCCAGGAGCATTAACTCAGCTTCCTCGCCTCCACTCCCCAGCCAGGCTGCCCAGTTTCCCAGCACAGGACAGCGCCTACTGTGTGACCTTGAAAAAGTTCGCACCCCTCCCTGAGCCTCACCCATCAAATGGGCAGGACTGAAGACCCAAGGCCGGGGAAGGCCCAGGGATTGTCCAGCCCTTTCCTCAGCCCCAGAGGGCTCCCGAGACCCAGGCAGCCAGTGGGGCCTCCCTCCTAACCCTGGGCTCCAGCAGCAGTCCAGAGATCATCGCCCACTGTGCCCAGTAGCCCTGCCCTTTATTCCCACCTGGACGGCCGCACCAGCCAGCTCCGGAGGGGATGGAAACCCTCATCGCCACCATCCGTGTGCAACTGCACTCTACTCCCCCAACGCCCCCCTCACCCCTGCCACTGCACCCACCTTGGCAGGAATCATGTAATTTCGAAGAACCAAGTCATTCTCAAGGTATCTCTGCAGGGTCACCGAGATGGGGTGGAGTCTGCCAGAGGAAGGCATTCAGAAGCTGATGCCCCAGGGCACCTGGGTGGCTCAGTCAGTTAAGCGTCCGACTCTTGATTTCAGCTCAGGTCATGATCTCCTCGTTGATGAGTTCGAGCCCCATGTAGGGCTCCACGCTCAGCTGTCAGCGCGGAGCCTGCTTGAGATTCACTCTCTCCCTTTCTCTTCCCCTCCCCCGCTGGTGGTGGCTCTGTTTCTCTCTCTCTCACTCTCTCTCTCAAAATAAATAAATAAACTTTAAAACAACAGAAAAGGAAACCGATGCCCTGAGGTCTGGACAGAGCCCCTGCACCCAGCAAGCATCTGAGCCCCAGCTCCAGCGCCCCTGGGGGATCTGGGGACCTGTACTCTTATTTCCTTCCTCCCTGCTCCCAGCGATCTCCCCAGACTTCTCACTTCCTGCTGCCAACCCCCTCCCTTATGCCCTGCCCAGGGATTTGGGGGGGTGAGGTGGGCGGGCACAGGAGGGCTGGGCTTGCCTCAGTGTCTCCTTGATGCTGGCCTTGAGCAGAGGGACCTGCTGCAACATCGCGCTGATGTTTCCCTGGGCCTGGCGCCGGGCGTCCAGGACCTCTTTCCGCAACATCTCCTGCACCTTCAGGCTGCGGGCCATCTCATACAGGTGCCACTGCAGGGTCATGGACGTCTGGCAGGGAGCATGGGGGTGCAGAAGACAAGGAGCACCTGTCACTCCTGAGGCCTCTAAAGCCATGCTAAGTTTCCGCTTCCAAGAATCTCTGTCTACCCTCCTCCCTGCATCCGGAGACCACCATCCGCAAAAGCAAAACACAGTTCGATGGGCAAATGTCCAAAACGCCTTGCCCACCACCCAGGCAGGAGTGTTTGGGGCAGCTCTTGTCCCTCTGATGTCACCAGAGCCCACCCGTTTCCCCAGCCGGTAGAGTCACCCATATAGCCGGTGCCGCCTTCCGGACGACTCCAGAGGCCTTGGGAAGCCAAATTCTACTTCTGCAAGGGCTGTACTCCCAAATGACTGCCCCTCCATCCCTCTCCCGATAGACCTTCCCCAAACATTAGCATTTGCCTATGGGAACAGAAAAGAACGTGAGGCCCAAAGGTACTGAAACCAGAGCAATCAGACCCGTTTTCCATCGTGTTGCACTTAGCACGCAGTCTATTCCAGGATGAATCAGCCCATCTCAGTATTAGCCAGAGGCAGTGACCATTAGCCCTTCACTGAAGGTGTGAGTGATTCTCCTCAAACCCCACAGTCCCAGATTCTTCAGGGGTGGGACCCCAGGCTGAAGCAGCCCTCCCTCCCAGGGCCAGGACATGCTGCTATCTGATCAAGGGTCTAAGTTTTGTCTCCTCCTTCCTCCCAGCAGGAGCCCTCGGGAAAAAGTGCCATGCAGTCACTTCCCAGCTTGAAAGCCTTACCTGTCCCAGGAAGCTCTTGCCTGACCCATGAGGTCCCCCCAACACTTGCCTACTGCTCCCAACCCCCCTGCCCTCTAATGCTCTAGCTGCACTGAGCTACACGCAGCTCTCAAAGCCCAGAAATCTTCCTCATGGTCTTTTCTCGTTCTAGAATCCTCCTTCTCAAACCTAGGAAGCAAAGATTTACTCCTCCTTTAAGGCTCAGATCAAATCTGTGTATTTGCCTTATTACCTCCAAGGCTTGACACAAACTAGGTACTTGGGAGATATTTAATACGATGCTCAACTAAGTTACCAGCTGTGTGACCTTGACTAAGTTACCTAACCTCTCTGGGCCCCAGTTTCTGCATCTAAAACAGAAGAATATAGTAACGTATCTCGTAGTGTTGTCTGTGAATACTAAATGAGTTAATACATGTGAAAAGTTTAGGACCCTGCCTGCCATCTAGGACACGCTTAGTAAATATTAGCTGTGCTTTGCTGCAGGGGAGCAGTTTCATTGCCTACGTAATTGACAATGAACTATGTTTAAAATGTGCTCAAAGGCTCATCTGCATCCTGTCCCAGAGACCAACAATCGTCTGCTAGAGCCCAACAGAAACACGGGAACAGGAAACAGCGAGGGCTTTTGCACAGGTATCTCCCTGGTCCCCTTGCCTCCCAGCAACAGCCTTTAAGACACACGCTGAATATTAGCTCCCCTATGGGGTGCTCTCCCTGTCCTTCAAGGCCACATTTTCTCTCCCCTCCTCAGCGCCGCCAGTACCCAGCACACCACCCGGCCGGCTGGCCCTACAACATGGCGTGGTGGTCATCCATGCACACACAGCCTCCTTGTCACGGGCTGAGCTGCGTCCCTGCCAAGTTCATATGCCGAAGCCCTAAGCGTCGCTTCACAGCGTGACAGTACAGGGATGTGGGGCCTTTCAAGAGTGAACTAAGGTACTGACGCTCCCTTGTCCATGCTGTCAGTCTCTCTCAGAAATAAATAAAACATTTAAAAAAAAAAAACCTTTTTTTAAAGGGGGGCACCTGGGTGGCTCAGTCGGTTAAGCGTCTGACTTCAGCTCAGGTCATGATCTTACAGTTCATGGGTTCGAGCCCCACGTAGGGCTCTGTGCTGACAGCCAGCTCAGAGCCTGGAGCCTGCTTCAGATTCTGTGTCTCCTCTTTCTCTGACCCTCCCCGGTTCACGCTGTCTCTCTCTCTCTCAGAAATAAATAAAACATTAAAAAAAAATTTTTTTTAAAGAGTGAACTAAGGTAAAATGGGGTCATATGGATGGAGCCTGATCTAACAGGGCTGGTGTGCTTCGATGCAAAGGGGTCAGGACACAGACACGTGTGCGCACACAGATCTCGTGAAGACACAGGGAGAGGACAGCAATCTACAAGCCAAAGAGAAGCCACAGAAGAAACCAACCCAGCCACCTGCTGCATCTTGGACTCCTAGCTCCAGAACTGTGAGAAAATAAATAACAGCCTTGGCACACTGATAGGCCCTTCCTTCCCAAGCCACTTGGGACATTTGAGGGCCATGGAATTCATCCTTATGGTCTCAATGCCTGAATCACAACTGAGGCTCCACAAACACTAAATAACAAACCCTCACTATCACGGTGGCATGGGAAAGTTCGAGATATTGGTCAAAGGGACCGTGCACAGGCCAGAGATATTTTGACATTCAAGAAGTTTCTGGGGGATTGTACGGCCTGTGGAGAGGGCCTGAGGGAGACACCACACAGCATGCCTTCGGACACTGGGGGCACCGTGGGGGACCAAGGTCTGGGAGGGGAGGATGTTCTACTGGCTCCCAGGTCTTCTGCAGTCCTGCCCGCCTTCCTCCCGTGTCCTCCACCTTAGCTTGGGGCACCCCACCCTCGAAGACTCGACGCACCACCCAGGCCCGCAGCCTATGCCCTGTCGCTCCCTTCTCACAGGCCAAGAAAAATGGCGGAGCAGCCTGAAGGCATGCTCCATGGGTGACCGTGCGACCCGGCCCTTCCAGAGAATTAGGATTTAAGAAACGCAACCATAGAAAGGGTGACCCACCCCACATGGGTAGGGTTTCCAGCAACGAGGCAGACTGGTGGGGAAGGGGGCACAGGGCGCAGGAGGGGGCGGGATGTGCCTTTGGCCCCCTCACCGTGTCCACACCCCCTGCCAACATCTCTGTTATATTGGCCTTGACATCCTCAAAGAGCAGCTTGTTGCTTCGTAGGAGGCGGTGGAGGATGCCCGGGTAACTGCTGAAATCTCTCTTGTGCCTCAGGTCCCAGTAGAAGTTATGGGTGTAGATCTCCGCTGTGCAGGAGGGGAAAGGAAGAGTGAGCTCTCTGCAGGTGGGAGGGAAGGGGAGAGGTGGCGCCAAGGGCCTGGGGGCTCAGGAGCCCGGCTTGCTCGACTGCCACTTCACTGAGCCCACACTCTCTGCCAAGCCCTTCATTCTTTTTTTTTTTTTTAACACTGTGCTAAATGCGCTTTTTTTTACTTTCTTCTTCTTTTTTTTTTTTTTACTATCAAAATAGTTTATTGTCAACTTGGTTTCCACATAACACCCAGTGCTCATCCCCCCAAGTGCCCCCCTCCATGCCCATCTCTCCCTTCCCCCCACCAAGCCCTTCATTCTTGACCACAGCTCCAGGGGGGAGGTGATATCATCCCCATTTTCCAGAGAAGGAAACAGAAGAGGGTAGTGGCTTGCACAACGTCACAAGGGTGTCATGAGACAGAGGTGGCATTTGGTTCCGGGTCTGAGGTCACCACCACCCCAATCTGCCTTCTCCGCCCTACCTTACCGATCTCTCTCACCAAAGTCCTAATCTGTCACCAAGCACACCTGTGTCTGGAGCACCAGTCCTTAACCCGCTGGAGACGCTGGGCTCCTTAGAAGAATATGACGAACATCTTTGATCCTCTTTCTAACCATCTCCAACAGCCAGTCTTTAGCCCACCATGGACAGGGCTTCCAAAGCCTTCCTGCCTCCTCTCCCTGCCCACCAGAGAGCAAAGATCTCTTACCTCTCTCCCCCCATCCCAGGCCTGGGGTTCCCACACTCCAGGGTAGACAGGGCTCTCCTGGCCCCCAGACTTGGCTAAGTGGCATTCACCTTTATTGAAAATCACATCCCATGCAGCCACATGGTCCTTCCAGGTCTTGGTCTTGAACAGACGGAACAGGTCTGGGGGTAAGGTGAGCATGGGGACACTCGTGTGGAACATCTGGTAGACAGCGTCGATGAACCGCTGGGCCTCGGGGTCCACCATCTCCTCCAGCATCCCCAGGCGCTCCCCGAACATGACATTGGTGATGGCTGCAGGGGGAGGCAGAAGGGCCCCTTCCAGCCTGGCCATCTAAGGGCCTCAGCTTCCAGGAGTCCCACTCCCGCCAACCTGCAGGATCTCCTGCACCCAGCCTCAGGCTCCTCCAGGAAAGAAACTGAGGCCTGAGTCCCAAAAGGCTGAAAGGCAGGACTGAGGGAAGGCTGCCCTCTGGGGGCCATGTCAGAGGGACATGTGCAAGACCCTGCAAACGGTGGTGGGAAGCAAGGCCTCCCGCGGAGCTGGGAAAGTGCCCAGACAGGGCTGAAACTGCTCCACCCAGCCTCCGACAGCACCCTGAGCAGCCTCTGGGCTTTCCTTCTTGGAAGAGAGATCAATTTCTCATCTACATGTGACCGAATCGGCTATCTCCTGAAACAGGGCACATGGGAAAGTGGATTGGCCATCCAAGACCCCCTCTGGCTGGACCTAAAAAATCACAACCGCCTCAAGTGTTTCCTGCCTACTTGGTCAGGATTTTGAATGTTGACTTCATACCAAACTCTGGGCACCCCAAATCTCCTGCAGTGATTACAGGATCCCCATTAAGCCGCAGGGCCTTTGCATGCACCATTCCCTCTTCCCATGCCTCCTGACCTCCTTACCCCGTCTATAAAACTCCTACATATCCTCAAATACCCAATTTAGGTTAACCACCCGACCCACCCTTCCCCTCCCAGACCTCGAAGGTCAGGGTCCCAGGAGAGAGAGAGGGAGAGGATGGATGAGTCCAGCAGCCCATCCCAAAAGCCAATCCCAATGCTCCTTCAGGATCTGTGCTGGGTCTCAAGGTAGGAGGCTGGGTTCTCCCACCCACGGGACCCCTGCCAGGCAGAAACAATCTCCTTACATTCAAAGGCAAAGCGAAACAGGTCGGCACTGATGACCCCTGAGAACTTTCCAGAGCCCTGCGTCTTGATGCGCCTGTGCAGGACTTTCACAAAGTCCTGAGACACTGGGTCCAGCAGGGGAATGAAGTTCTTTACGGCCTCTGGAGACATCACCTCCTGGTTCAGGGCCAGTCGGTCTTTCTTCCAAGCTCCTGACTTCCTGAGAAAACACAGGCCCTCAGGCCCTGAGAGCCACAAACTCCAGGCCTGCCAAACCCAGAGGGGGCCGACTCGGCTTTCCCAGGAGGCTGAGCCACAGCTCAGAGCCCGGCACTCACTTTCACCCCCGACACCCTGGGCCTTCCATCTCCCAGCTGCTGCCTGGCCTGGAGGCAGGAAGACAGAGAGCGGGAAGAACAAGCCCCTCCGACCTCCCCCCTGTCCCCACCCCTGCTGCTGCTGTGGCCAAGAACTCCTATTCTTAGAGCTTCTAAGGAACTTTCAGATCCTCTAGTATTTGCCTCACCTCGGCGGTAGGCATGCCTTTGCCTTCCTCTTGGCTGATGGTCACCTCCCGCCATTCCAGCGCCCCTCTACTTCACCTTTTCGGCCCCTGCGCAGACATGCTGGCCAGTCTCTCCTCCTCCACACCCCCCCCAGGATGTCCTGCCACTGACGTCAGTGGGGGATCTCAGGTGCCCTGAACTAGGCTGATGATAAAGCTCCACTTATGACCATACTTGGAAAGAGATCCACGCAGAGCCCTCTTTGTAGTTTGACGGCTTTGCCTGTTTATAAAGATATTATTGCAAACTCACCAGGTGACATGAAAACTAGGAACTTGGCGGTAACTTACATATGCCCACATCCTGCCTCCCTGGCCAAGGGGACCACCCTGACTCCTTTGCTTGCTTTTGTATATAGTTTTATCTATTCTATAAGTAGTCTTATATACTGTTAAAAATGTATACTTGATGTCCAAGGGGCACCTGGGTGGCTCAGTCATTTACGTGGCCGACTTTGGCTCAGGTCATGATCTCACAGTTTGTGGGCTCAAGCCCCGCATCAGACTCTGTGCTGACAGCTCAGAGCCTGGAGCCTGCTTCGGATTCTGTGTCTCCCTCTCTCTCTGACCCTCCCCTGTTCATGCTGTCTCTCTCTCTCTCTCTCTCTCTCTCAGAAATAAAAAGTAAATTTAAAAAAACATTAAAAAAATGTATACTTGATGAATGGATAAAGAAGATGTGTATATATACAATGGAGTATTACTCAACAATCAAAAATAATGAAATGCTGCCGTTTGCAACAGCATGGATGGAACTAGAGGGTATTATGCTAAGCGAAATCAGTCAGAGAAAGACAAATATCATATGACTTCACACTTAAGTGGAATTTAAAATACAAAACAGGGGCGCCTGGGTGGCTCAGTCGGTTGAGCATCCGACTTTGGCTCAGGTCATGAACTCACATTTCCTGAATTTGCCCCACATCAGGCTCCGTGCTGACAGATCAGAGCCTGGATCCTGCTTTGGATTCTGTGTCTCCCTCTCTGCTCCTCCCCTGCTTATGCTCTGTCTCTCTCTTTTTCTCAAAAATAAAGATTAAAACTATTTTTTAATAAATAAATAAAATACAGAACAGATGAACGTAAGGGAAGCAAAAATAATATAAAAACAGGGAGGGAGACCAAACATAAGGGACTCTTTTTTTTTTTTAATATTTTTATTTTTATTTCTAGGAGACAGAGAGAGAGACACACAGCGTGAGCAGGGGAGGGTCAGAGAGGGAGGGAGATACAGACTCT